TTTCTCAAGAAGCCTACATATGACGCCATGTGAATCGGGCTCTTGAATGGTGGGAGGGACCTCTTCAATGATGACAGTGGCCTCTTGAACGGTGGGAGGGGACTCTCGAGGAATGATAGGGGGGCCTCTTCAACGATAGGAGTGGACTCTTGAGGGATGACAGGCGAGTCGGGCTTCTTCTTGCGGTGTCTTCGCACTATTGGGGTGTACGGAGACTTAATAGCACGTGCACGCTGTCTGATGCGTGAACTCCGTCGTGCAAGCATAACCCGACGTAAAGCATCCACTCTATCGGGCCGCTAAATAATTAAATACAAAAATCAGTAAATAAACAGACATAATATTTAAACAGTGAAAACAAAGACAAATATGTTTCAAACTTGCATTGTATTCACCCAAGTCATTATTCTATCATAGTTCACAAAATGCATCAGATAACAAAGAAAAATATGTTTCAAACTAATACCCTGAAGTTAGTATTTGTCTTTGTTTTGTCTATTGGTTGAAGTAATGCAATCCATTCAAGTTTCAATTTGCAGAAGAAGAAATAGTTTACTTTCGCAACACGAAACTTAAAATCGCAACGCGAAATGAGAATCGCAACGAGAAACCAAAATCGCAACGCGAAACCAAAATCGCAACGCGAAATGAAAATCGCAACGACAGAATCGCAACGCGAAATGAAAATCGCAATGCGATTTTGGTTTCGCGTTGCGATTTTGTCGTTGCGATTTTGGTTTCGCGTTGCGATTCTGTTGTTGCGATTTTCATTTCGCGTTGCGATTCTCTCGTTGCGATTTTAAGTTTCGTGTTGCGAAAGTAAACTATTTCTTCTTCTGCAAATTGAAACTTGAATGGATTGCATTACTTCAACCAATAGACAAAACAAAGACAAATACTGACTTCAGGGTATTAGTTTAGCAGAATTGGCAGCAACCGAACAAATTTACTTTCAACAAAAAGACAAAACAAAGACAAATACTATTTCACAGTGTTAAAGAATACACAGTTTAGCAGAATTGGCAGCAACCGAACAAATTTACTTTCAACCAAAAGACAAAACAAAGACAAATACTATTTCACAGTGTTAAAGAATACACAGTTTAGCAGAATTGGCAGCAACCGAACAAATTTACTTTCAACCAAAAGACAAAACAAAGACAAATACTATTTCACAGTGTTAAAGAATACACAGTTTAGCAGAATTGGCAGCAACCGAACAAATTTACTTTCAACCAAAAGACAAAACAAAGACAAATACTATTTCACAGTGTTAAAGAATACACAGTTTAGCAGAATTGGCAGCAACCGAACAAATTTACTTTCAACCAAAAGACAAAACAAAGACAAATACTATTTCACAGTGTTAAAGAATACACAGTTTAGCAGAATTGGCAGCAACCGAACAAATTTACTTTCAACCAAAAGACAAAACAAAGACAAATACTATTTCACAGTGTTAAAGAATACACAGTTTAGCAGAATTGGCAGCAACCGAAAAAATTTACTTTCAACCAAAAGACAAAACAAAGACAAATACTATTTCACAGTGTTAAAGAATACACAGTTTAGCAGAATTGGCAGCAACCGAACAAATTTACTTTCAACCAAAAGACAAAACAAAGACAAATACTATTTCACAGTGTTAAAGAATACACAGTTTAGCAGAATTGGCAGCAACCGAACAAATTTACTTTCAACCAAAAGACAAAACAAAGACAAATACTATTTCACAGTGTTAAAGAATACACAGTTTAGCAGAATTGGCAGCAACCGAACAAATTTACTTTCAACCAAAAGACAAAACAAAGACAAATACTATTTCACAGTGTTAAAGAATACACAGTTTAGCAGAATTGGCAGCAACCGAACAAATTTACTTTCAACCAAAAGACAAAACAAAGACAAATACTATTTCACAGTGTTAAAGAATACACAGTTTAGCAGAATTGGCAGCAACCGAATAAATTTACTAAGCAATCTAAGTGAAATGGCTAATCTAAGTGAAATTACGAGTAAATTTATCATTAAGTTAAATATGGAAAATCTTAAACTTACCTCGTTGCGTAGAGTATGAACCTCATTCTGCAACGATACTATCATCTCACGTAGAGCGGCAACCTCACCACGTAAAGTTGACACCTCCACACGCCATGCACCATCGTTATCGCGTAGAGTACCGATCTCCTCACGAAAGGCATTGACCTCATCACGTAACTCATCCCGTGGAGGTGGGGAACAAGGAGATAAATGTCGTGGCCTCTTTACCGGTCGCCTATCATGAGGTGATGGTGGAGAAGAGGCTCGATGATGTGACGGGATAGGTGATGGCTCTCGTTCTAGAGGTGTATAGTCGGGTCGATCGGGTGATGGCTCTGGGTGAGGTGATGGCTCTCGAATTGGAGGAAGTGGATGCTGCTCATCATCCGTGCCATCAAAAAAACTCTGACTAGCTTGCCACCAATCAGTGGCAAGCTCTTCCTCCGTGGGTGTCAGTCTTTGTAATGGATGTTGGCCTCCTAACAATATAAAAACTCAAACAAAGTTAAACGTCTACTATTAATAACTTGTTTATATATTATATGAAAGTATTTGTGTTAACTTACATTATTTATTGTCGCATATGGTATTAAGTCTTCCCAATCCAACAGATTTTTCCTCTTCCAGGAAATAGCCCTGGGAATATCATTTGACGTTTTTATTGCATATGTACGCATGCTGGGGAAAGCCTCGAATATCCAAATCTACAAACAATATAATAACAAAATTAGTAATTGTTAAATAATTAATTATAATTTTAGAAACATTATATAGAAATTCTTACCTTAAAGGCCCAAACAAAGCCTGACAAAGTGTATTTCGACCCATCGCCACGTAAACTTTTGCGGTCATCAAAGGCAGTAGACAACTTAGTCCAGGTAGCTTTCCATATATACGAACCCCATGGAAACAGATTCCATGCATTCAGGTCCTCTACCAATATTATTAGCTCCCGAGGAATAGGTTGTCTGGCCTCTCTGCCTAAAAAGTCGGCATACACAAGTAGTAGAAGGCATACTCGGACAACATCGACGTCATCCATCCGAGTGAAACCAGCTTTCTTATTAAACAATTTCTTCAGGTCGTCGACGTGTAGGTTCGGCTTCTCCATTGACTCATCCGGAAAAACCCGGGATAACCATGATGGGCGGGCGATATGACGAGTGTACCGGCCTACATCATCGTGTCCGAATCGTAGACCAGTGATTAAGCAGAACTCCTTCCGCCCAAAACAAGTATACGCTGGTGGAAAATGAAACCATATCTCTTCCTCACCACGTTGTATACTGTCGGGTAGATTTGATGTCATGGTCTGAAGCCACAAATGGGTCAAATTAGCATCTCCACCCGGATGCTGTATTCTCAGCCATGGCCCGAAGCAGGTTTCCTCAAACAATTGTCTTTGTGCAGGTGAAAGCTTCGAAGCAATTGTAGTGGCTAGGCTAACTTTATTCCTTAATGTCAATGAAGCCGAAAAAAATTTCTACAAAAACAATAAACATATCAAGTTAGATATACCAAAAACTACACTGAAGATATACCAAAAACAATAAACATAAAAAGTAGTAGTTTATTCTTGAAACTAAAATTTGCAACACTGTTTTGTCTTTTGGTTGAAATGAAAATCGCAACGAGAGAATGACTGTCGCAACAAGAGAAATGAAAATCGCAACGCGAAATGAAAATCGCAACGAGAGAATCGCAACGCGAAATGAAAATCGCAATGCGATTTTGGTTTCGCGTTGCGATTCTCTCGTTGCGATTTTCATTTCGCGTTGCGATTCTCTCGTTGCGATTTTCATTTTTCTCGTTGCAGATAGTCATTTTCACGTTGCGATTTTCATTTATCTCGTTGCGACTCTTCTGCAAATTGAAACTTGAATGGATTGCATTACTTCAACCAAAAGACAGAACAAAGACAAAGACAAATACTAACTTGAAAATCGCAACGAGAGAATAGCAACGCGAAATGAAAATCGCAACGAGAGAATCGTAACGCGAAATGAAATCTAAGTGAAATGGTTAATCTATTATTGAAATGACCAGTAAACTTATCATCAGTTTTAATATGAAAAACCTACAATAATGCAAAAATTTCAAAATAAAAATAATTAAAAAAACTAACCCTCGGAGGTTGATTTTCCATTTCTGAATATTGTGAGGGATTTCTGACCGTGAATGGTTGTGAGGGATTTCGCCGGAGATGGGGACGGAAATCTTCGGAGATGGGGACGGATTTCGCCGTAGAGAGTGAGAGATGGAGATGGGACTGAGTTGTGATTTTAGGTTTTAGGTTATGAGTTGCGATTACGGGATTTTGTCTTAATATTCGTTTTTGTAATTTGAAAATAAAATACGCGTAGCGATTATAATGGCGCTTTAAAAATCGCGTTGCGATTTACGGATACGCGTTGCGATATACGGATACGCGTTGCGATTTACGGATACGCGTTGCGATTTACGGATACGAGTTGCGATTTATGTGTTCGCGTTGCGATTTTCATATTCGCGTTGCGATTCTGGAAAATCGCAATGCGAATTGGTACTATCGCATTGCGATTGTCAAGAATCGCGTTGCGATTTTGGAAACTGATTTACGATTCTGGGGATCGCGTTGCGATTTTGTTGGTCATTTTGGCAAATCCTAAAAAATTGATTAAAATCGTATATTATAAGGCATTTTTGGTCACTGAGACTCTTACTATAACCGCCTTAAAAAAAAAGTTAAGCATATTGTGTTGTTTCTAAGAAAAGAAGCGGCCTCTCATAAGTGACGCCACATGGAATATTTGGGGTTGTTTTCTTCGATTTACCAAGCAAATTAAACTTGAAATGAGGTAAGGCGGCAGGTGTTTTAGATTCCTGCTTTTCCAAATTCTCAACTCCAACTTTTCTTCTTCTTCTGGATTCCTTTTGTTTCCGGATAAATCATATAAATAAAACAATTTCATCAAAGAAAAGAAGAAGATGGTGAGATGGGTAATTTTCTTGCTAAACGGAAGCGGAAGCGGCTGCAATTTCCTTCTTACGGAGGGGGAGAGGAAGAGGGAAGCACTGCTCAAATCAATAATAATGATCGTCGTAAAGCCTCCCAGCTACAAAGAAAGCAATCTGTAAAGCAGAAATATAGGTTTATAGCAGATAATTTCTCAACCCTTGATCAGGTTCTTTTCTTCTTCTCAATACTTTAAATTTAGTTTAAACTTATTTGTTTTTTGTTGATATATTTTGATGTTAGCTAAGCTGATAGCAGTTTTTCCTCTTTTATTTCCCTTAGCATACAAAAAAGATAGAGAATTAAAGCCTTTTGAATTTCACATAATGATTTGAGAATTAAAATCAGGATTAGATTTAATCACAATGCAAATTTTACTTGAAAGATAAATGGCATCTAAAACAGCCAACTTACAGAGATTTTGCAAATAACACTGAGCGTAATCCTACAGCATATGAAAAAGGAAGCTTAATATCTGTTAAAAATCCAATTTACTCAACTATTTTTTTTAATTCTTATGTGTAACTTTCAAGACAAGTAACATAATCATTCAACTTATTTAATTGGATTCTGCTCACATAGTCCTACACTTCTTGGGAAAAAGAAGGACATGATCTCAGTGACGGATCTATAAATTAGAAAATGGTATCCAAAATTTTAATGTTCATATTTTAAAAATTTTGGGTATTCAATTTTTTTTTTAATTTTTTCTATTTTCCTTAATAAATTAAACTAAATTTAACATTTTTATCAAAATAATGGGTGTGTGGGTGAGCACATACATCCGCCCCTGCATGGTCCTACATTTTGTTTTTAATCTAATATATAAGCTTAATAATGACTTACTTTGTCTCAATACTCATGTTTTATCACGTAAAACTAACTCAATAAAATAAAATAAAGTAAAAACTAAGTAACAAATACTGTATTTTATAAATGAATTATTAAGAGGTTTAAAAAAACTATTTAAAATTTGATATTGATTGAAAATATAAGAAAGCAGACAAAGAAAAAGTTCAAAAGATAAATAGATAGAGAGGAATATAAATCAATGGTTACCTGGGGAAAGAATCGATGCCTTAGAGAGAGAAAAAGAAGAGGATTTGGATTGGTTGGTTTTCTAAGTGGTAAGATTCGGTGGTGAAGGTTCCTGGCTGCTTCACAAATTATTCGATAGTATTAGTGGAGAGCTGCCTAAAGCCTTTTCAAATTCTATTTAGATTAATTTTATTATAATTATATAAGTTTTAAAATATTAATAAATTTTATTTTTTAGTCTAATCGATTAATTCGGTTGAATATTAAAACTCCAATTAATAACTTTAATCATGAAACATGGTTGGTGTGCTTACTACTAGAGCCAAAGAAATCAAACTTACCACCATTGTCAGATTAGATTCAATATGATTCAGCATATTTAATCTTTGATATTTCTTAAGTTCTGAATCAGCTCCTTTTTTTACTGCAGGTTACAAAAGCTTTAAGGGAAGCTGGTTTAGAGTCATCTAATGTGATACTTGGAATCGATTTCACGAAAAGCAATGAGTGGACAGGTTAGTTTTCATCCAATTTAGTGAACAGTTTTATGGTCCATGTTTATTTGCAGACTTTCTCCTTTTGCCTTTTGAATTGGATTCTTGGAAGCCAATACATCCACGTTTGTATTAAAGGCAAGGTATCATTCAACAACCGGAGTCTACATGCAATTGGTGATACGCCAAATCCCTATGAGCAAGCCATCATGATAATTGGAAAGACCCTGGCTCCTTTCGATGAAGACAACTTGATACCTTGTTTTGGCTTTGGTGACGGTACAGCCTCTGCTCCAGTCATTAATCTTTCCTCCTTTACATTTTATCTGTTGATCTAATGGAGTTGCTGATTCGAATGTCATAGCTACCACACATGATACAGAGATTTTTAGCTTCCACAGCGATCATTCATCTTGCCATGGATTTGAGGAAGTCTTAGATTGTTACAGAAAGATTGTTCCAAACTTGAGGCTAGCTGGTAATTGGCATCTATTCCCTGGTCTCGACAATCTTTACATATCCATTTTGACATTATGTCATGAATACATCGTTTTTGCCAAGTCTGTAATGTGCTGAGCATGCATGTTGTGCCATAGGACCGACTTCTTACGCGCCAGTAATTGATGCTGCTGTTGACATTGTTGAAAACAGTGGTGGCCAGTTCCATGTGTTGGTTATTGTTGCAGATGGTCAGGTACTCTCTTGCCTGCTTTTTCTCCTTGTATGAGCAATTTTGCCTTTCATTTTCATTCATTCTCCCTCGCTCGCACTCAATGCATCTCCGAATTCGTTTTCTTTTTGTGTCGATGATGAAGGTCACACGAAGTGTCAATACACGTGATGGAGAGCTGAGTCCACAAGAAGAGAAAACCATCGGTGCAATTGTTAATGCAAGGTAGGATAAACTGTGCAGTCTCCTATCCCTGCAAATGCCAGACTATAAAGAATACAAACAATTAAGGCGTACATTGTCAATAAGTATAGCTTGTTGAAGAAGGCATAGATTCAATGGTTTGAAACAAAAGGATTTTATTTTGTTTTTGTTTTCATTCACACATTCCAGCTTATACCCACTATCGATTGTTTTGGTTGGTGTTGGTGATGGACCTTGGGATGATATGAAGAAATTCGACGATATGATTCCGTCTCGCGACTTCGACAACTTCCAGGTTTTGATCGTTCTAGAAGCAAAACTTCTCTGATAATTGCATCAAACTAATTAATCTGATGACATGCAAGTTGGTTTTTTATGTCTAATATTTATGTGCAGTTTGTTAACTTCACTGGGATTATGACTAAGAATACAAGTCAAAAGGAGAAGGAAACTGGATTTGCTCTTGCTGCTCTCATGGAGATCCCTTTACAGTACAAAGCATGCATGGAACTTGGCATTCTTGGGTGAGTTAATCTTCGGCAGTTAACTTATTAGTTTATTCTCACGTATAATTTGTAATCCCTCATTGACTATTTTATAAATTTGTATTGAACAAATCAAGACAACGAACCAGAAAAGCCAAGAAAATAGTTCCACGGCCTCCTCCAGTTTCCTACCGTCGACCTGCTCTGCCCAAACTCATACCAAGCAATGCCTCGGCATCACCGGCGGTTGCATCAGATGATCAGCAGGTATGTATGTGTATTCATGTATTTATGATCAAATGAAATGTTGCATGTATGCATGCTTTCCTTTCTGTAATATATATTTTATGTTGTAAAATTTTCCCATAATTAATTTTGTTTGCAATTGCAATGTAATGCAGTCTGCATGCCCAATATGCCTAACGAATACAAAGGACTTGGCCTTTAATTGTGGGCATATGGTGAGCAATTATTTTATTTTTCTTCTTATCCTCTATATTCTTTCAATAAATATTTTTCTCTAAATGAAAATGTTAATATAATTAAAAATGTATTATGATGACAGACTTGCAGGGAATGTGGGCAAAGAGTGTCTAATTGTCCAATCTGCCGTCAAAGGATTACTAATCGTCTTAGGCTGTTCACTTGATCTTCATAATACAGTCTTCCAAGGGTTGATTTCAGAGTTAATCAACTTTTTTATATTAAATTTGTACTTGTTGAATTTGGACTTGAATTTTTTTGCGTCGAGTCTGCCCTCGTACAATTTCAGAATGCCCATTTGTACAAGATTATTAATATGAATTTATGAATATATTAGTAGTTTGTTTTAAATAATTATTAGTAGTTACTTTAATTTCTTCTTGAAAACTCTAATTGCTTTTCCTAGTTTTGCAATTGGTTAACAACCATAAATCATAATCTTCATTGATGGTGTGGATTTAGTTTATATTTATTAGTTTGAATTGAGTTGATTGTTTAATTTAATGTTTATAATAATTAATCTTATTTAAAATTGTTAATTTTATTTTAAATATTACTTACTATATATAAAAATATAACCTAAAAGTTGAAAAATCAAAATCACCTCTTTGAATCCTTTTAATAATCAACTAATAATATAACTCAATCTTTCCATCAAATATGTTAATATCGTATGAGTGTTTAGAACATATACTACTTTGTAATCACCTTAGTTTAAAAAACCGCATGAATGTAGTGCAATATATACTTTTTTCCCGTGGCTTACTTAAAAATTAAATGTTCGAAGTCGTGTTGAAATTTTTGGAAAAAAAAGATGAATTATCTTGATAGATTTAATATTTATATTAAATTCAGAGTCTTTTTAAATATTGTAAAAGAAAAGATATTATTCAATTTGAATATTAGTGAAATTATTATTTTTTGAATATGTCAATTTAAAAGTGTATTTATTATCTATTTAATTTTGAATATTAAAGATAATTATATATTTTTGAATATTTCAAATTAAAATAATATTTATTTAAGTTTGAATAATAAAAGGGGTGTATATCTTTTTAATATTTTAAATTTAAAAGATATTATTATATGTTTAAATTTACATAATAAAAAATATCTGGTTGGAGTAAAACTCTCTTGAAAATCACTTACAAATACTGAGCAAACCTGTTAGGTTTTTAATATCTCATAATTCCAGAACTTCTCTTTTCTCGAAAAATATTTTCTCTCATTCTTAGAAAATATTTTCTTTCCTTCTTAGCTTTTCGGTGATAGTCGAAGGCAGTGATAGTTCGTGATCTCTACTGTTGTGATACTGTAGGTGATCATCTAGTTGTAGTATCTTGGGTGACAGACGAATAAAAGATCTCGACCACCAAAGAGTGATCGAAAATATGTCTTAAGGAAATTATGTAACGACATACCTCAACTGATTTCGATCTCAAGACCAAAATCAAAGAGCATTTTATCTTCCATTTATTTTCTTTTATTTTTTTAAAGAAATTAATTTCTTTTTCTCTTAGGTTCGAATTTCATCTCGGATTGTTATTTCGGATAGCAATCTTAAGACAAATTTATTCTTTTTCTACCTTTATTAATCCGAAATGATTCGAAATTGTGGGGAAATGAGATAGTGAACAAATTTGTTTTGGGATTTATCTTGTCGTCTTAACATGTTTGCTAAAATCTCAAGGTTGACAAATTCATGTAACATAAATTGTCGTGGAAGTAACTTTGTTACTAATTTTGTTCAGAATGTTGATTCTATTCGATAACAAAATCGAAAATAAATGAGAATTATTTTTTTGTTTATTGGAATCTTCGATTTCGTATTTGAAATCAATTGGGATTTTAATTATGTCATCTAACATAATTATTTGATTACTATTAATTGTACAAATCGTTTGAAAGTAATGACTTTGTTACTGATTTAGTTTCTAACTAAATCTTGTTGGAAGAATAAACCATAATTTATTTTTGGTTTTGTTGGAATTATTATTAATTCTAATATCGTGTGTTAAATAAAATCATGAGTTTGTTGGTGATTCTGAGCCATAACTAGAAGCTCGTAAGTATGATTCTATCTTGTAAAAAGAAATAAATTGTTGAATTTATTTCTTGAAAGTTTCAAATCAAAGCTTGAAAAAAATATGGTTTTCTAAGATGTAATCACATTCTCAAAACCTTATCTAATTCACGTTATGAAGTGTACATTGTTTAAAATCACTAAAGAATTATGGATGATATTGAACCATAAATACGAAATGGAAGATACAAGTACTAATGAAGTTACCTAGTTATCAAATTCGTAATAATGACTAGACTTGAGGGAATAAATATTTTATTATCTTTATTGATGATAGCAAAAAGTATTACAATGTGTATTTGGTAAAAGAGCAAAAACGAAGTTATAGATAAATTTATTTTCTATAAACAAGAAGTTGAAAATTAACTTAATAAAGATTAAGATAGTAAGAAGTGATCGTGGTGGTGAATATGTTTAACAATTTGGTGAATTTTATTCACAACATGATATTATTCACAAAGTAACACCACCATATTCTCCTCAATCAAATGAAATATCAGAGCACAAAAAATCAGTCTCTAAAGGAAATGATGAATGCCTTGTTATGTAGTTCTGGGTTATCACATAACATGTAAGGGGAAGTTGTCTTTTCAGGTAATTACATTTTATATAAGGTACCCCGAAAGAAAAAGACAAGACACCATATGAATTATAGACAGGTCGAAAACCTCCCTACAAACATTTGGAAATGTGAGGTGTCTTGTCAAGATAATGGCCATATTACCAAAGAAAATAAAAATAGGTCATAAAACTGTGGATTGTATTTTCATTGGCTATGCATAACATAACAATGTGTATCAATTTTTTATGTATAAATTAGAGAATCCTGAGATTCACAAGAACATGATAATGGAATCAAAGAATGCATCATTCTTTGAAAATATTTTTCCTTATAAATTTAAGGAGGTTGATCAAAGTTTAAAATGAACTTTAGAGTCTAACAATGAGGATAGTCTAGATGATAAACAAGAGACTGAAACTGAAATAGAGCCAAGAATGAATAAATGAGCAACTGTTGAAAAATCCTTTGGACCAGACTTCCTAACCTTTATGTTGGAGGCTAAACCTCAAAAGTATAGTGAAATTATACGATCCTCTGAAGGCACCTTATAGAAGGAAACCATTAAGAGAAAAATAGATTTCATCATGCAGAAGCATACGTGGGAATTAGTGGATCTTCCTCCGATGATTAAACAACTAAATTCTAAATGGATTTCAAACGTAAAATGAAAGCAGGTAGAACAATTGATAAGTACAAGGCTAGATTGGTAATAAAAGGATAATGATAAAAGGAAAGCCTTAACTACTTTGATACATACTCTTTTATATCGAGAAAAACATCCATAAGAATGATACTTGTAATTGCCTCTTTGTAAAATCTATAAGTATATCAAATGGTTATTAAAACAACTTTCCTAAATGGAGACCTTGATAAAGAAATATACGTGAAACAACCTGAGGATCACACAATTCTTGGTCAAGAAAGAAAAGTGTTTAGGTTGTCTTTGTATGAACTTAAATAGGCACCACAACAATGTCATGAGAAGTTTGATAGTGTCATGATGACAAACGGCTTCAAGATAAATGAGTGTAACAAGTGTATATATGTTAAAACTACAAACATTGAATATGTTATTATATGCTTATATGTTGATGACATACTCATTGTTTTCAGTAACAATGAAATGATAAAACGTACCAAAGATATGTTAAATTCAAGATTTGACATGAAAGATATGGGATTGACCGATTCAATTCTGAGTATCCAAATTAAAAGGTCATCTGAAGGCCTCATACTAACACAATCACACCATGTGGACAAGATTCTTGAGAAATTTAATAATGATGATTGTGGTATAGTCATAACTCCAATAGACTCTTGTTCACATTTTTCTACAAATTAAGGTAAAAGTGTTCACCAGGTGGAATATGCAAGGGTCATAGGTAACCTAATGTATCTCATGAGCTGTACTAGACTAGACATTGCTTTTACTATGAACAATCTAAGCAAATTCATGAGCAATCCATGTGAAAATCACTGAAAAATGATAACAAGGATACTAAGATATCTTAGATATACTAGATCCACAATGGAATCTGAGTTTGTAACTCTAGACAATTCTGGAGAAGAAGTAGAATGGCTTCAGAATGGTTGAAACATATGCCCACAATATATATATATTGTGGCAATCAAGCAACAATTGCTAGAGCACATAATTTCATGTATAATGGTAAATCAAGACATATACGCTGTCGACATAATACCATTAAACAACTGATCTCAAATGGAGTTATCTTTATTTATTTTGTAAGATCAAAGGATAACATCGTGGATCCGCTAACATCGTGGATCCGCTAACCAAAGGGTTAAATCGAGATCAAATTGAGAAAACATCTAAAAGAATGAGACTAAAGCCCATAAAATTTAAAGGTTTTAAGTGAAGGAAAACCCTACCTTGTTGACTAGAGATCCCAAGATCTAGGTTCAAAGGGACAACCTAATTGCATAACATGTGTACGATCACTATGGGGGTTTCTTATCCCAAGTTTGCTCCTATGATGTAAACAATGATCAATGTGGTATAGGCTAAACAAAAGCTCTTAATAACCATTGTGTATTGTAGTGAGTCGAGCAACATAAGTCACCTATGTGAGAGTGAAGTATGGTTGTTTTTAAGGAGACTATTGGGCATAGTTCTTTCAAACTCTTGCAGAACCAAGCGATGTCTGTAGCTTTAAGGATATACCCATGAGAACGAAATTCCTGTAAGAGGGGTAGTTATGTGAAGTATGTCATCGTTTACACAAACGACATAACAGTTCAAGGACATCACTTCTACTATTTAGCCAGTGAAGTAAATATATTGTCATAATGGAAGGTTCAAAGGAGAACACATACATATCTCATACAACTATCGATCGTAGAGGCATCACCACACTATGTCAAAATGTCTTTGATTAAATCATCAATTACATTCACGTGTTGAAATTTTTGGAAAAAAATGATGAATTACCTTGATGAATTTAATATTTATATTAAATTCAGAGCCCTTTTAAATATTACAAATTAAAATATATTATTTAATTTGAATATTAGTAGGATAATTACTCTTTGAATATGC